CCCCCCATTCCTTCCATCTTCCTCCTTTCCACCCTCCCGTCCTTTCTCTTTCCTCCTTAACCCACTCCCTCCCATCTTCTTCCTTTCCACCCTCCCTCCCTTCCTCCCAACTTCCTCCTTTCCTTCCTCACGCCCTCCCTTCCTTCCTTCCTTCGTTCCTCACTTTCGTCGTTTCTTCAATTGTTTTCCCGTCCTTTTTTCGTTCCTTCCCCGCCCTCTTTCAATTTTTTTTCTATTCCAAAGTCACCCACCGTCGGGCGGTCCTTCTCGCACACCCGGCACTATGTCATCTCCACCAATCAGAGAATTCTCAGGAAACAAATGAACGACTTTCTCTAAACTGGAATGCCGTGATAGCTGATAAAGTAACTGGAATCCAGGAATTGGTCCCAAGCCAGGGAAATCTAAGAAAACGATCGAGAGTTACGATTGTGTTTAATTTTGATTACCATGAAATCATATTTCTATAAACACCATAAATTGAAAGATAATAAAAGACAAGATAAGGTAAGATTAATTCCACTAGATTGTTCGCATGTGGTGAATAAAAATAAAAAATGTGAGAAAGAAGAAAGGTACTCTCTATAAGTACCTTCTAAAGGTTCAGACATGTACAATAACGCTTGAACTGTGCCACGCATGAAGTTCAATCTAAAGACAAACAGAATAAGTGTTAGTCGAGAAGTAACCGTCTAGCATTTATTACCAGTAATTCCCAGGGCTTTCAGAATTATTCTGAGTAGGTATAGCTGTATTGATAAAGTAGGCGACTGTGGGGAGCGTTCGAGAGAGTCTTACAGTCATCTAAATTAACTAGACATAAGTGTATATTGATTAGATAGCAACACAACTGAGCCTTGTAAACAAATTAGCGAAAATGTATCACTACTTTTATTCTCAGTTTTACGAAATAGTACGTTGTTTTCGAAAATAACCGGGCCGGACTATAAAGTAGACCAGGTTTAGGAAAAATAATCTTGTTTGATAGCTCAAAGTGGAGGGAGAGCAGAATTACAGACAGACAATTTACACTACAATAACATAACTTTTGCCTATAAAACTGTCGCATGCAACCTGCTTACAACTTGTACTGTGTAAATCACGCACACAACTCGTCCACGTTGTCGCGAGTTGTTTGCTTGATTTTGTACACAGTACAACTCAAGTTGTAAGCAGGTTGCATGCGACAGTTTTAAGCACAGGTTGTGTAGTATCAATCAGTCTTGGAGCCAGCATGCATCAGCTTTGAACATTCAGTGTAAATTTAGGTTTTCACATTCCTGCAACATTAGTGAAGACGATCGCGATGGATACGTCGGAGAAGATTTTTAAAACCTCGCATCATTTCGGTGTTTGTCGTATACCTGTTTATTGTAATATCATTCGTGTTTGACGAATCCTTGAGAGTAATAGTTGAGTCAAAAATCCTGAGAATCCCCCAGCCACAAGAACAACTGA